GGCCATTTCCTCGCCTACTCTGATCAAGAGCAGAGACAGAGGATCTTTTGAGACAGGGGCAGAGTAATGGTATAAATAATGGTTCAAAATAAAACACAGTCTGTTTAACAGCCACATGAATCAGGAAATCTCAAATTCATGCCCTTACACTGTCAACATTGTGGTGTTATGAACTATTGCACTACTGCTATACCTTTCCACTGATTTGATTGCAACTGCTATGGCTTTCTTGTGTCCATGTTATTCCCCTTGTATGTATGGATGGATGTATATATGTATTTATTTATTATTTTTTTATTTATATCCTGCCTTTTTCCTACAAAGGGCTCAAGGCAGCTTACATCATTCTCCTCCTCCATCTTATCCCCACAACAACAACCCTATGAGGTAGGTTGGGCTGAGAGTCTATGACTGGCCCAAAGCCACCAAGTTGGCTCCATGGCTGAGTGGGGACTAGAACCCAGATCGCCTGAGTCCCAGTCCCCTGCTCTTAACCACTACACCACACTTTTGTTAACCACCCAGACAGCCTTGGGCTATTGGACAGCATAAAAATTAAATCATAAATAAAAATATGTTGATAGTACACACCCTTGATCAAAAGTGTGCATTTAAGTAGGGAAGCAGCAGTAGCCAGCAGGTAAAGGCATTTCTAATTTAGAAGGGGGTGACATTGTTCTGATCCTAGTTTAGCTGTAGATTTTCGCCTGAGCAAAGATGACAATAAAGACCAGGAGCTTTGCACAGCTCAGCTGACTTGCAGAGTGGTTCTGCTCTCGGAACATGTTGGCACACTGGATTGAGAAACCCTAGTTCCCCCATCCAGGTTGCTGGGCTCCTGGGCTAAATGGCAAAGAAGTGTGCCTTCTCATCACAATGGAGCCTAGAGAGACTGTGAGCCAAAGAACGTAGTTTTGCATGGTGCAGAAAGCAACCCCACCCCATCCAGCAGTGTAGAAGCCCAGAGGCAGAAGAGAATAGAGGAGAAGGCAGCTAGCCCCTTCTTCCCCGATCAGATCGCAGCATTGCTGTGCTCAGTGGGGACGAAGGGGCTCCCTTCCTCACCACGCAGCACAGATCCGCAGTCACTGGAAGAGAGAGAAAGCAGTCGCTCTCTTGCTCCTTGTTCAGACTGCTTGTTCTGGTGTCCCACTGTGATGAAGGAAGCCTTTTTTCTATCACAGCCAAACCTGTGGTGTATGTATGTGCATGCATGAGAGAAAGACTATGCAGACAGGGTGCGTGTGTGTATGAGAGAGAAAGAGAATGACTGACTGATATAAGGGTGCATTTCTGGTTGTGTTCTGGTTAATGTGGTGCCATGGGCTAGCAAGTCTTTGTCTATTTTAAAAATCAACTTTTGCTGCTGTGGGGCCTCGGGTATTTTCAGGAATTAATTTCAGGGATAGGAGATCACTATTTTAAAACAGTGCTGTGGTTTCTTGAATGTTTTTTAAAATATTTTTGGGTTGGAGTCTATATTTTTCAGACTATTTACTGGTGCTGGCAGGGGCATTCAAATCTGGTAATCCATATTGCTGCAATAATACATTGATTAGGCCCATGAAAAAATCAGATCATGTTCAAGTTTTCTTCATGAGAGGAGATGTTAAAGGACTGGTTTTGTGGTGTGAGGGAGGAAGTATCCAATTATCTTATGGTGTGACATTATCTGCATGTCCATGTCCATACAATGTTCTACCTCCTACTACTACTCAAAAATGCTACCAAAGTTTAGCTTCAGCGTTATGATCTCGGATAGCATCTACATGCATGTTGTTACTCTTAATAGTGCCCAATTTATTTCTTTGGTCCACCGGTCAATAGAAACATGTGTTTCAGCCAGGCTGGTAAACTGGGAGAATATTCTGAGAATATTTCCCCCAACAGAGGACACAGTAGTTCCCTCCCCTTCTTCCTAGTTTCAGGTCAAGCATATAATCATGACCATGACTTGACCTGTGCAGCCAATTTGAATGCCTGCAGACAACTCCTCCCACATTTCACCTTGGAGCTAGTCTGAACTTGCAGAAAACGCGCCTTCACCATCATCTCAGATAGGAGATAAAAGCAGGCATGTGGGCAGGAGGGTTGGCTGGCACTTGGGAAAGGCAGCCACGCCCCTCAGAGCCTCCTCAGGGACTAGACGCACTGCCTGCCACCCCCACAGCGACGGGATGAATGTGCCGAGCCAGGAACTGGGCCAGTGCATGGAGTGGCAGCTGTTCTTGCCCATACCAATTGCGTAGCTCCATGCACCACACACCACCACGGAAACAATGTGCAACCGATGGAGCCAGTGACTCGCCTGGCACCAGTTGTGTGCCTTACCTTGTACCTTCTCCTACACAGGCAGGCAAAATGGCCAGGTGTGGCAATGCCAGCGGCCAGCAGTTGCTGTACAGAGGACAATTTGCTCCCACCATTTGGGAGTGCAATCTTACATATGTCTATTCATGTATGTCATATGTAAGTTTCACATTGAATTAAATGGGCTCCATCTAAGATAAGCAAGTACAGGATTGCAGCCTAAATGAATAAAATCTTCTGATCTGTTCAAAAGGTTGCCTGATTAAACTGGACGGAAGGCTTTAGAAAAGATTGCTACTTTTATTACACATAACTGTAAACCAAAAACTACCCATGCTACAGAGAGCAAGCACCAGGAGACAATTCCCTTTTCTTACATATGAAAGACATTACCTTTTCTAAGCAGATATTGGCAAAAGCATGTGCATAGAAAGCTAGTGTGGTGTAGCAGTTAAGAGTGTTAGATTCAGACTTGGGAGATCCGGGTTCTAGTCCCTGCTCAGCCAGGAAGCTCACTGGGCATCTTTGGGCCAGTCATAAAATCATAGAATAGTAGAGTTGCAGGGGCCATGAAGGCCACCGGGTCCAATGCCCTGCTATTGCAGGACACAACTTTACACCACCTCACTCTGATTGGCTGTCCAGGTTCTTTTTGACTGTGTCTAGTATGGGAGAGCCCACCACCTCTCTAGGCAGCTGGTTCCATTGTAGTATGGTTCTGACAGCGAGGAAACTGTGACAATGGCAGTTACTCACTCTCTGCCTAACCTACTTCACAAGGTTGTTGTTGTGAGGATAAACTGAAGAGGAAAACCTTGTAAGCTGCCTGAGGTTCTTTGCAAGAGGAAGTTGGGATATGACAAGGTTTCTAGATGGCTAAATGGAGGGGATGCAGTGGATGTGGTTTGCCTGGATTTCAGCAAGGCCTTTGACAAAGTGCCCCATGATATCCTGGTTGAGAAACTGAGGAGTTTTGGGATACACCAAAGCACTGTCCAATGGATTTGGGCGTGGTTGACTGACCAAAAGCAGAGGGTAACCATTAGTGGGGAATCATTGGAATGGCCACCAGTGACAAACAGGGTCCCCCAGGGCTCTGTCCTGGGGCCAATCCTGTTTAATCTTTTCCTCAATGACATGGAAGAATGGGTGAACCATAATGCTGTTAAGATGGCCCAGGGTACTCCAAAAGGACTATGGAAGTGGGCAGGAGACAACAGGATGGCATTCGATGTGGATAAGTGCAAGGTCTTGCACTTGGGGCATAGGAATAGGTGTCATAAGTACAGGTTAGGGGACAAGTGGGTGGAGAGCAGCACTTGTGAAAGGGACCTCAGGGTGCTGGTTGACTGCAGGCTAAACATGAGTCAGCAGTGTGATGTGTTGGTAAAGAGGGTGAACGCCACCCTTGGTTGCATAGCCAGAAGAGTGGCTTCTAGATCAAGAGAGGTATTACTACCACTCTATACGACTCTGGTACACCCGCAACTGGAGTATTGTGTTCAGTTTTGGGCCCCTCATTACAGGAAGGATATAGCCAGGTTAGAATCAGTGCAGCTTAGGGCCACAAGGTTGGTGGCTGGTTTGCAGGGGATGCCGTATGAGGCAAGACTAAGGGAACTGGGTCTCTTCAGTCTGGAGAAGAGGAGACTCAGAGGGAATCTGGTGGTGACTGAAGTGGGTAGAGACCTGTTCTCCCCTGCAGAGAAAGGCAGGACGCGCTCCAAAGGAGCAAAGCTCAGGGAACCAAGGTTCCATTTAGATGCCAGGAAGCACTTCCTGACAGTCAGGACCCCAAGGGTATGGAATAAGCTTCCACAGGAGGTGGTTGAGACCCCATCGGTGAGGGTGTTCAAACACAGGCTGGACATGCACATGGTGGGCATGTCATGAGCAGAGCCGGCTGGAGCCAGGGGTCAGACTAGATGGCCCAGGAGGTCCCTTCTGACTTGCTCTGTTTCTATATGAATTTAAGGTGGATAATATGTCATGGCCACAAAACAAGTAAATTATATTTATCAATTGAATTGGATCTGAGCCTTAGATTGTTCCTTGCCAGAAGTATTTTTCTGACACTTTATCACAAAGAAATAAGGTGTTGTTACATGCAAGCAAAATGAGAGACAAAACATTTAACTTAGGTGATTAGGGAAGTGTCTTCATAGAGATGGTGCAGACCAGTGGGAACTAAGCATTAAACATTATTTAATAAAATTTGCTATTAAAAGCTGAGTTTTAGCTTAGTCTCTTTTTCTAGCAAAACTATGGTACTCAAATGCTAATTTATAGCCTAAGGTGGTGAAAGACAGCTCTAATATTTGGGATCATCTGGATTCTTTAAACACGCACAGATTACAGAATGTCACCTCAGGAAGACCTTGCTGCAAGGGAAGGCAACTAGTCCACAGTGTTTTGGACTAGAACTCCAATCTTCCATTGACACGGGGTATGTTAGCTGGAGCTGATGGGAGTTGTAGTCCAATGCATCTGGAAGGCTCCTGGTTGCCTGCTCCTGCCTTGCTACATTATGCTTGCGGCTGGCTATAAATTAATCTGCAAAGAGATTCGAGTGATAAACAGGATGGCTGGTGTAGCCCACTTCAGCCATCTGGGGGTAAGAGAAGAGAACGTCGGGACTTGCCCGCTGTTCATCACTATCCATCCGCAGCCGCGCCAGCCCCGCATCTCACCGTGACCTCCTCCCCTACGTGGCTGTTCAAAATCCGGGAGCCTCCCGGGTGCCGCCGGTGGAAGCTGCTGATGTCATAGACTTTCCTGTCGATCACTAGCCACATCTCGCGGTTCGGATCCTCCTGCTTCGTGCGGAGCCCAATTTCGTCCCACGTGAAGAAGCGCGGGGTAGAAGGCAGCCCCTGCGGCGGGGCGGCCTCCGCTTTCTGCTGCGGAGCCATCGTGCCAGCCGCCGCCGCCGCTATGGGCTCCTCGCGGCTCTTTCTCCCGCTTAGACCTTGCCGCGCCTTACCTAGGGGCGGGCCCTTGCCCCGGCCTCTCTACCTCGGATTGGCTACCGTGCTGGTTAGCCACGCCCACTCACTTATCTGTGGGTTAGTTAAAATAGAAAGGGCCGTTGCCAAGCATGGACTTGCCTATACTTGCACTAATCTTGGGGCTTAGTGAAGGCATCCCGCAAGAGAAACGTAAAGTTCTGCAAGGTACTTCCGAAAGGCTGTTGACAAGAAGGACCGACGGCACAGCTGTGGGGAGATCCCATCTTCCTCCTCATCCCTGCCACAGCCACCGAGACAGTGGATCGAGCGAGCTGCAGCCTAAGTGCGCGCTCGTGCTCATTGCTCAAAAGATCTTTTGATTATTAAGTAAGCCGTTTCGCCCCGCACTTTGTCTTGGGTTATTAAACATTTGGCCACGAGAAATTCCCTCTCCATCTCCCCTGGCACAGATTTCGGGTGCTTCGGGGCGCGGGGGGGGGGGGGGGAGAGCAGTCCATGTCTCCAATGGCACCTGCTCAGGTGGTAGTCAGAAGGCCAGGAGTTCGTTTTGCACTCTCTCCACTCACGCCCCTCAGACAATCCACACTGAATAGAGGGAAAAGAGACCTTATGAACACAAAGCTTGCTTTTTCCCTTGCTCACACTCAGTACCAAAGGTAGTTTTTCCATAGGCATAAGAAGCACAGCAACAATTTACTTACTGCCTTAGTTTAGTAATAAAGCTATCCATCAGTTTCCACTGTCTCTTCCCATTTGGGATCGCTAAAACATTGTTTTTTCCCTAGATTCACAAATACCATGGCTATTTGTCCTAGCTTAAAAAGGACAGTGCTCTGTCTAAAAGCATCCTGTCCAGGCCAAGTCTGCTTCAAAGGATAAAAGAAAGGAGAAACATCGCCCATCCACAAGTGGCATTTGATTCAGAATGTATTTCTATTTAAATTACTGCAATTATTTCAAAATGTGCACCTGCACATATGCAGTAGCATATGGAAATATAATATTAAATATAATTATAATTTAAAGCTATGTACTTACTGTCCTGTTTTGTTTTGATGATATGCCAGTATCCACCCAACCCTTCAATGCTTTTAAGCTTAATGAATTGGATGAGGGCTAACAAACTGAGATCAATTCAGACTGCAACTGATTCAAAACAGGGCAGCTAGATTATTAATGGGACTGGTTTACAAGAACATAGTACACAAATCCTCTTCCAACTGCACTGGCTGTCACATGAAGTCCGAGTCTGATTCAAAGAACTAGTATTAACATTTAAAGCCCTAATCAGTCTAGGGTCAGGTTATCTGAAGGAACACCTTGTCTCTTATGTACCTACCCAGCCCCTAAGGTCATCTTCAGGAGTCTTTCCCCAGGAGACCCCTCCAAAGGAAGTAAGGAGGGTGGCTACCAGAAGGGCCTTTTCAGTTGTGGCACTCCAGCTATGGAAAGAGCTCCTCACTCTCTATTCTTTTTTGGCAACAGGTAAAAACCTTTTTATTCACCCAGTATTTTAATAATTAACTCTAGTTTTTAATATTGCATTTTATCCTGTACCAGTATTATACCTACCGTATTTTTTGCTCTGTAAGACACACTTTTTCCCCCCTCAAAAGTAAGGGGAAATGTCTGTGTGTCTTATAGAGCAAATATGTGTGTGCAGTAAGTCTGTCAGATGTGTAGCCCATGGGGAAGTGACGGGGAATGTGCCTGTGATTATGTGCCCATTTGATTCAGAATATTTTTTTTCTTGTTTTCCTCCTCTAAAAACTATTATTGCAAAAAAAAATTGCAGCTCCTTCTTTGGTTCAGCTGTGTTCCCAGGAAAGGACTCTGACCTCAGAAAGGGAAGGAAGAGCAATGTCAGGGACCAACAGTAACATTGGAACCCTCCATCATTTGTCTAACTCATGAGGGTATTCTTGTACACCACTGCAAATGCCACGGTTTTAGGGAAGAGAATGTAGGTATATACTTTGTAAGGACATAACTAAAACATAGTGTTTGATTACTTCTATAATAGCACAAATCGATGCCTCGCTTACACTGGCTGGAAAGCTTTAGGATCCAAGGCCCCCTAGACTGATGGATCTTGAAGATATACCACTGCTGGAAACTCAGTGCTAAAATATCACCAGAGTTATAGTAGCATAACAGTAATCCAGCAAAAGAGGTGGCTATTGATGTAAGTGGAAAGTCACAAACCTGCCTATCAGTCTATGTAGAATAGGATTTCAAATGAATCTGCTCCTAGTCATGCCACACCAATAGCACTATATATACCCCTACCAGCACCAAGTATGGGGCTAGAGGCCTCTGGTCTCATGTCTTGCATGAGCACACAAGCAGGACCTTTAATTATGAGAGCCATGGTGAAAGAGCGCTTGGTATAAAAGGGAGTCTTTGGCACAAATAGTTTGGCCTTAGAACCAGTAAGTGCACTAGTGACATCTGTGGCACAGGCCACTTATGTAGCTTCAAGACTTGTGGTGTACTTTGAGAAATCACTTTCACTTAACAATCCAGGCAATCCACCTGCAACTTGTACAAGTCAAACAGAGGAGCAGAGCCAACATTTCTGGGTGTTGTTCCAATGTTGTGCAAAACCACGGAGGAAATGCTGATTGTCAGTTACTTTGAGCTGTGCCCAAGCAACAGTGCATTCTATATGTTTTTTTAAGGAACTTAAATTATTTCCATTAATCCATTTTTTTCTGACTTTCTTCTACAGAGTCCAAGCCAAGGTTGCGGGTGAAGTTGAGGCCTAATAAAAACTGTAAAGGGTCATTTATAGTCACTTCCAGGTGACTGCAGCTGCGCAGAAAGGCCTGCAAGACACACACTGCAACAATCCACCATGGCAGCACTTGATTCAGGATGTTTCTACAGCAAAGAAGGGCACATTGGACACAATATCCTGCCTCTATGAACAGCACAGGACACTTGTCAAGTATTTTGAGAATACTAGTGACTTGCAGCACATACCTAGGCAGTGGAGACAGGAAGGGGAGAATGAAAGACCTTCTGTAAGCACAGCATCCATCCACGGACATTACACTTCTTTTATAAAACAATATATCTATCTTTGGACCATTGCTGCTCTGCATCAAACTCCTTCAAAAAATATTGGAAGAAAATCATCTAGAAAAATTATGTATGAATGGGATCAGCCTTGCACCATCAGAGCAGAACTTTGAGGCAGAAGTAAGAATGTAAGAAAAGTCACGCTGGATCAGACCAAAGGTCCATCTAGCCCAGCATTCTGAACACTCAGTAGCAAACCAGCTGCCCACCGGATCCCTCAAGCAGGATCAATGCAAGACCCCCTCCTGCCCAAATTCCTCAACAATTGGTGTAGGCAGACATGCCACCTCTTGTAAAGGAGGTAGCACATAGTCATCAAGGCTGGTCGCCACTGATAGCCTCCTCCCTCATGAGTCTGTCCAATCCATTTTTAAAGGCATTCAGATTGGTGGCCATCATGACTTCCCATGGCAGCAAATTCCACAGTTCAACTATATGCTGTGTGAAGAAATACTTCTTTTTATCTGTCCTAATCTTCCCACCAATGAGCTTCATGGGATGACCCTGGGTTCAAGTGTTATGGGGGAGAGCTAAAAATGTCTCCCACTCTACTTTTTTCCATACCATGCATTATTTTGAACAACTCTCTCATGTCTCCCGTTCCCTTTGCGAGTTTGTGAGCTTCGTTCAACAGAATCAGTAGCAGTGCCCTCATATATAATAGGGCTGGCCACTAGTGCTTTTTCTGAGCAAAGGAGCAACACAGGAATGTAAAAACCTAAGAAGAATATTTAATTGTTTAATTGTTTTTATAGATTTGTAATTTATTATGTTTCATTTGTAATGTGTTTTTATCCTGCTGGTATGTTTTATATTGTATGCTGACTAGGAAGGCCTCGGCAATTATAGGCAGCCTATAAATATATGAACATAAGTAATAAATGAAATAAGAACACTACTGGATTACTCCAAAGGCTATTAGGTCCAGCATTCCTTTCCCACAGAGACCAAACAGCTTCCTTGGAACATGAGCACTATAGTGACATGTTCCTCAGAACCTGGTAGGTCAATGCATATGGAGGAAGCATTTATCCAGCAGGAAGAGTAGCCACTGGAAGTCTAATCCCTTTTGAAAGCTACCCAAATTGGTGGCCATCACATCTTGCTGGAGCAAATGCCATAATAAGAAGTACTTAGAATAATAAAATAGTGGAGTTGGAAGGAGGAATAAGGCCACTGAATCCAACCCCCTGTTCATGCAGGACTCCAAGTTAAACCATCCCTCTCAGATGGCTGTCCAACTGCTTCTTGAATGCTTCTACTATGGGAAAGCCCACAGCCTCCCTAGGTAATTGGTTCCATTGACATGTCACTCTAACAGTCAGGAGGTTTTTCCTTGACATTCAGGCTGGCATTGGGCTTCCTGTAATGTGAAGGCAGGGTGAGAAAGGGAGGGACCAATGGAGTGAGAAACGAAGGGACAGTGCCACCTCTCCTTTATCTCTGCCACCAAGCTGATTCTTGTCCCTCCCACACATATGTAAGAGCGGCTTCCCTCTGGCGGGCAGGAGGAGGAATCCAAGCAGTTCTTTGGCTCTGGCCTTGGTACCACAACAAGATGTGTTTTCTGGTTTGGATGACACAAAAGTCACTGTGGCACCAAGAAACCAAAGAACAGACAGTTGTTTCTATTAATGGCTTGTGAAATTCCACAACAGGGCTTGAGACATGACAGACCAACTTACACAGAAAACCACCGTTACTTGTCATGTAGCACAGACCTGCCCTTTGAATCCACTTCTATAGCCAACTGTAGATCAACCTGATAGTTGTTCCATGTAGCCCATTTTTCTCTAGTTTGCTAACAGAATATCATGGGACACTTTGTCAAAAGTTTTGCTGATGTCAAAATGTATTAT